GGGGGACTTGATTGGGGGAGAGGGAGGGAAATGGGGGGCGGCGGTGGGGAAGAGACAGAAATCTTTAATAAATAAATAAATAAATTAATTAATTTAAAAAAAACCTTGGGATAGGAAAACCCTGGAAGGCTGTAAGCAGAACCTAATGCACTTTAGTTTGGGAGACCAGAATGCTGAGAGGAAGATGTACAGTGGAGGCTAGGCCCTTTGGGTTTCAGAGGGAAACAAGGACTCCACTGGGAACTCTAGGTCATTCTTGCTCCATTCTTGCCACAGTCGGCTGCATTCTCCCGTGTACCGCATGTGTTTGTGATGAGAATTTAAAAGTACTTGGTGGGGAAAATCAGAACACACTACAACAATTAGACTTTGCAATAGCTGCTGCTGAATCTTTTCATTAAGATCTGGAAGAGGTTTTTAAAATAAAGAAAACATGAAGTTTACAGAGGAAAATTTGTGTAAGCAACTTTAAATATTCAGGCAAGGAAAGAAAAGCGGATATATCTGCCCTTGTGAAAGAGACATCCCAGTCTCTTCATTAGGATAAGAGGTTAGTCTAGATAGCACAATCAATCCCATCAAAGGCACCAACTTATAAAAATACAAAATAGAAATTAATCTGTGAGATGAATCCTGTCTTAAGAGTATATTTCAGAAAGGGTTTCCTACTTTAAGAACAACAACAAAAACCAAAACAACATCAACAAACTATCTTAGAAATTATTTTTGTAGCTACATATACCAAAGCATAGAGAAGTTTTTCCCACTGTGGTCCAATGGAACCTTACTACATCTCAAGTTAGCAACAGATCTTGGCGGCGGTGGCAGCAGCTCCAGGCAGATTCTATACTGTAGTTATAACTTATCTATACCCAGTAAACAGCCCTCAGTTGCTCAGAGATCTGGGGAATATGACATTTAAATATTTTATTATTAAAAAAACTTTTCATAACAAAAAGAGACAGGTTGGCTCCTAGTGGTAGCACTCTATTTCCTCCCAAGAAGACAAATAAATGAGCACAAAACAACATCCATCTGCAATTTGCTTCAATTGCCAAACACTGACCACCAGTAAAAATTGCCTTTCATCTAAACTGAAGATCACCAGACAATGGGCAGAATCCCTGGAATTGACAGCCTAGCTGCTCAGGTCAAGGTAGGCTTATCTTCCTACAGATTTCTTAGCCCATAGGATCTTCTGGAGCCTGGCAGGCTAATCAGCCTGCACTAATCAGCAGAAGGCAAATATGACATTCAGCAACCATGGAGGACCCTGAAGAGCAGCTCTGGGTTCCAACCAAGTAATTTCTCTGTGGTTTTTAATCAATAACTCAAGTAAAATTTTATCCTCCTCAAAGATCTCTGATGCAGTTTGACAGCTGAGTGGTTTTGTCAGTTTAAAAGAAAAACTTCACCAAACAAATTTCAGTAAAACACAAATACAAGTTATTAAGGTGTACACCTGCAAGTTACAAAGGTGTAAGGACAAATACAAGCTATCAAAATTCTCTCTCATGCTGCCTTCCATAATCTTAAAGATACTTTTTATTATGCAAAAAATCTGTCACAGACATTCTGACATAAATATGCTACTATTTATACAATGCATATGTCTTAAAACTTAGGTTTTCACAAATCCAAAAAATTCTCATGAGTTCCAGAGAGCCAAATTGAAGGATCCACCTTAAACAGGTATAAGAGACACCAAATGTTTCCATACCACAAACACCAGAGAGTAACAAAGAGAGGAGCTACTCCAGGAGGTGACTAGCACACAGCTTTCTCTGGTTCACCCCCAAGACAACACCCATAAATAAGTCTTAAGAATCTGTCATCCCAATTTCTTTAACTTGTTGTGGCTATCCTCCCGACTTTTTATTATAAAAAAGAGATGGGAATGTAATGGTCTGTCCTTTCCCTTTAAGAGACAAGCCTCCCCCCCCCCCCAATACACACACTCTGCTGAGGCAAGCAGAACTTTCTTCTGCTTCCAGCCTGAGTTCCTCCCTTTCTGTCTCTCCCCCCAAGAGGCAACTTCTGCCTTATGCCTTGCTCTCTTCTTCCCACTTCTCCCTTCCCCGCCTCTGGTTCTCTCTCTCTCTCTCTCTCTCTCTCTCTCTCTCTCTCTCTCTCTCTCTCTCCCTGCCTCCCTGCCTCCCTGCCTTCCCTTCCACTGCCCACTGCAGCCACTCAGGGAATGGTGCAGTTTTACTTTTACCATAACAACTAAAATGACATAAATCTGAGGAAATTTGAAAAAAATTGCAAATTGTGTAAAAATATTATTTACAAATCTCTGAGAATAAATGCCTTCTACACCACTGCAGAAACACAGGATAAGTGAAATCTGTTAATAAAAGTGATCAGCCTACTGTAATTATTTCAAGTGTGTGCTATACATTGTTCATAAAGTAACAGAATCGTCTCCTAAATTTCTATAAGAAGGGAGTTAATTTGAAGATTGTTAGCTGACACAGTCACCCAATGATGAGGGCATTGGCTCTGCATCGACATTTTCAGAATAAAAGCACCACAAAAAGAAGCTGTCAAAGTTCTGGGTCTCATCACTTCGTGGAATACAGAAACACAAAAGTACTTTCTGGATAATTCTTTTGTTGGTGCTGGCATCAAACCTAAGGCTTTGACAGATGTAATTCTGGTGATACTTAACTTATAGAATAACGGCAGTGGTATAGTGTTTCCTCAACGTAGTTTTGAGTGCACATTGGTATCATGTGAACTTATTGAAATGACTAACTCTTGTAGCTGGAAAATGAAGATCTGGGCCTGTTTTCTGATTTGTGTTAGGTCAGACAGAAAGTTTTAAGTGTTGGTCCATAGGTAGATCAGCGTGAGGGTTCATTAAATGTCTCCCAAACTTCAAACCACTGTTTCAAAGTTGCTGTTCACAGCCCCAGCCGGGGCAGCTTGTCAAGGCCTTGACCGTTCCCAGCCTGGTGGGATATTTCAAAGGCTCACAGATATCTCAGATTTAGAACTGGCTTTCCTAGACTTTTCAGACATTATTAACTTTCGGGGGTTCAGAGAAAGGACTCTGGCTTGCTTATCTGTAAGGAAACAGGGTACAAAGAAGACTGGAGAACCCGCCCCTCAGTTTAGAAACAAATGTGCTGCACAGGCTGGAAAACTCCCAGTCTCTAAGCTAGAAATAAACACAAAAATCCTTTTTGTTTACCCTTAAGTTCCACATGACTGACAAATATTCAACAGGTGCTAAATTGTTGGGGGGATGTTATATGCTAACAGATTATAATGATAACAGGTTTACTAGTCCAAAAGGAGAGAAAACCAGCTGATTTCCAGCATTTGATTTGTTTAAAAGAACTCAGGCTCACTTTCACTTTCAGTAATATTTTCTCTGCCTCCTCCCTCTCTCCCTTCCTCCTCTCTCCATCCCTCCTTCCCTGCTACCTCTCTCTCCTTCCCTCCCTCCTCCTTAACTGTTCCTTCTAACTCCACCTTTTTATTTCTTTTCTTCTCTATTCTTTTGCAGTATAGAGAAGGTTTCTAAACAAATTAGTGTCCAACTCTGAATTGCACAATCTCTTATTGCCTTTGTGCAGCTCAGTGGGGTGGGCAGCTTCACAAAACAAACACTAATGGACCAAGAAGGACAGGAAGGTAAGACTGAGTGACTTCAAAACCATGCCTTCTTCAATACATGCATCACCTTAGGTTTCTAAACATCCATAGAAACTTTGGAGTTAAACTGTATCATTTGTAAGTCTATAGGTGAGAAACCCCCTAAAGCCATCCTATTAGCACGGCCTTCATTCCTGTCAAGTGGTTGAGTCATTTTTCCTGTTCAGTATTATTTTTTTACTTTCACTTTCATCTTCTAAACATTGCTGAACCATAAATTCTCTGCTGAAAACCCCAGAACTTCTTAGGCTATTGCAGAGGGCGGAGGTGTCACAGCAACTGTGAGAGAGGACAGAGGGCTCAGCAACCAGACTCACAAGCAGAGCAGACAGCATTCAACACTTCACACAGGCGGCTTTCTTTAGCACTAAAGGATTTTGCTTCAGGTAAGACAGAGGTGGGAGTGGGAAAGGCTGTACCAGATTGCTGCATTGCCCTAAAATGACCTCTTTAAGGGAGGCTGAGACCTACACAGGCATCAGTGGAACAGGAGTTGGTTGACAGAGGTAGTTTTATTGTTAGAGCCCAGGTCTCTACTATGTAGAGTTAAATAGACCCTGGTAAGGGAGAGTCCACGGAGCGGGTATGTATGAGTCTTTGAAGATTGATACTGCATTCGTGGGACGATTGTAGATCATCTTTATTGTCTAGTGAAACTCAGGTAAAAATCCCTCTACTTGTCGCCAATGTCTGCCTATAGGTAAAGTAAGTAAGACCGCTTGGAGTTTGTAAAAAGAGACAATTCTCCCGGTGATAGTTAAGGAAGTTATAAAACCATTGTATATTTTTAAAATATGTGTGTGTGTATTTACTCTTTGAAAATTTCATATATGTAGTGTGTTTTTGATTGTATGTATTCCCTATTCTTTCCTCCATCTCCTCCACCCCAGCCCCCAGCTCTATTCACTTCCCAAATTCCTGTCCTCGTTGAGTCAGGTTATTGTGGGTCATTTGGGCCTGTGCATAAAGACATCTACTGGAGGTTGGATAAATTACCAGGGCCACATGACAGAAGAAAACCAACCATCTCTCCCTTAGCAGTCAGTCATCAATGCCAACAGCGCCTAAACTACACCATGGGACTCCCTGAGCCTCTTACCCATCCATAATTTTGGCTGCTGAATTTCATGCAGGTTTCTTTCTTTCCTTTTGTTGTTGTTTTTTTGAGGCAGGGTTTTTCTATGTAGGCCAAATTGTCCTGGAACTCATTCTGTAGTCCAGGCTGGCCTCCAACTCAGAGATCTGCCTGCCTCTTTCTCCCGAGGGCTAGGATTAAAGGTAAGTGCCACCACTGCCCGGCTTTATGTAGGTTTTTCTATAAGCAAACACAGCTACTGTGACTTCATGAGTTCAAATACCCTATCATGTTTCAGAAGATACTCTTTCACCTTGAAGCAATGACTGTACTCCATGTATATTTTTGGTATAAGTACCACTGTGCATTGAAAGGAAACAAAACTTTAGGAGGAATGCTCAACTCTAGGGCAACACAGGAAAAACGTGAGGTGTCTCTGGAAGAATCTGTGGTGGGGGAAAGTACCACAGCACTGGGGATGTGATGGAGGTCTGACAGTCAAACACTGGATCCAGATGAAAGAGCCTCAGTGAACAAAAGGGATAAATGGATCAATAAAATAAAGAATGATCATACAGTTCAAAGTCACACAGAATAAAGTAAATACCTAGGAGTTCATACTGATGTAGTCAAATGAATGGATGAGTGATTGACAGCAGGAGCAATGCTCCTGCTCTCTGTAGACCTCCCATTAATAAGTATGTGTCATGATAAGAGTAGACGGTCATCTTAAGCAAACGTTATAGTGGTTTTATTTTATAAGCGTGCATTATTAGTAAATGCTAAAAATAGAGACCAAAGCCCATGAAGTATAATAAAAAGACATGTGCTGAGTCTTAGAGTCTCTCCAAATGGAAACTTCAAAATTTTCTCCTTGTTTTTGCTTTCACACTTAGAAAAACAATTTCAATTAGTGTACAATGTAATGAGCTTCACTGGGACATTTAAACCAATATATTTTACTGTTTCATCCATATTTGCCCCCCAAATATACCCTATCACTCCTAACTTCAATTCTCTGGTGCCTTTCCTGTCCCCCAAATAGTTCCTATCAAGCTTTAACAAAATGGTGTATATGTGTGTATGAACATACTCATGCATTTAACAGTAAAATGTGTTCTAGTCTGTCTTTGTTTCTCTTGTCGTGTTTTTTCCCTCTTTTTTCATCCACCACTATCTCTCTCTTCTCTTTGGAATTATTCCTCCTTTCTCATTCTTGCTGTTCTCACTTTCTATGTGTCTGAACACATATTTATAAATATGCATTTAACTATATATTTAAATTTACATTTCACGTGTAAGAGAAAATATACAATGTTCCTTTTGCTGAGTCTGGCTTATTTTGGTTAACATGGTGATCTCCAGTTCCATCCATGATTCCTGCAAATGATATAACATCATCCTTTCTTATGGCTGAATAAATCTCTGCTGGGTATACGTACTATGCTTCAGTTTTCCATTTATCTGCTGATGGACAGCTAGACTGGTTCCACAGTGCAGCAATAAAATGAAGATGCAAGTGTCTTTGTGTTACAATCCTTTAGACACATGCACATATATGTATATTTATATGTATGTGTAGGCATATATATGTACATACATACATACATACATACATACATACATACATACATACATACCCAGGAGTGATATCTGGTCATTTGATAGTTCTAAGTTTTTGGACACACTGCCATACTGCTTTCTACTGTGGCTGCACCACTTTATATTCCCACCAGCAATGCATAAGGGTTCTCTTTCTCACATTCTTGGAAACACTTGTTATTTGTCTTCTTTAGGCTACACATTCTTAGGGAGAGACAGGAACCTTGATGCATTTTAAACTTGTATTTCTTGGGTAACTAAAATCTTAGACATTTTCCCAAAATATTTATCTGCTCTACAAATAGTGCATTTAAATGCAAACTAGTAAACAGTTCTTGGTAGGTAGCCCCTTAACCAAGAGACCACATTCAAAAGAGTGTTTTCAGAGCAAGAATGTCAGCATCACTAATCTTTGATTTGATCAACGAAGATTACAGAATATCAGACTTGTAACCTTTTTGCCCAGTGTGTACCAATATAATTACATACTATCATTAAAAAAACAACTAAAAATATCACTGAAAATACTCTACAATATAAATGTGATACACTCTTCTAGGATCTAAAGTAATGAAGGATAAAGAAAGAATAAGAATCTACTGAAGATGAGGGGGAGGAAAAGAGATGTGAGGATTAGCGAGGGATCCTGAATCACATTATAAAGCAGAAAAAGGACATCAAAATCTTATTTAAGAAAAGGAGGAGGTATAAGGTATGCAGCTTTAGAAAGGGTGTTATAGAAATGCTGAAAGCCTAGTCAGTTACTCCACTGAGGGTATGTAAGATACTAGCATTGGAAAGAGATGGAGAAATGGCATATTCAGCCTTTGGAACCCACTATATAACTTTTCTGGTTATCTATGGACCTCGATTGGTTGTATTTAAATGAAGGTAGTGTCTAGCATATAGGACAACCATAAAGAGCCCAAAACATTTAGAAGTGTGCAAAGAACACATTTCAAAGGTGGAAAATTTTAACACATACTGTTTTATTCCTCTCATTGACAAGAAATGGCTGTCCAATTATTTTCTCCTTAGAGACAAAAGAACACGCTAGACATGGCCTCAGACATCCACATGCCAAAACCCATATGTCTCATTGAGAACACTGAGGAGCAGCTTGTGGTCAACCTGGAGGCTCTGGGTTATCTGTCTGCCATCAAGGAGCCAGTGGTGGTGGTGGCAATTGTGGGTTTCTACCGCACAGGCAAATCCTACTTGATGAACAAGCTGGCTGGGAAGAATGCAGGTGGGTGAAACCAACACAGCTGTGCTGGGTCCCTTCTATCCACCCGTGTAGCCCGACTTTTAAAAGCAAATGTGGGGAAAGAATGCCAGAAAGAGGGAGGAATGTGAAAGGGTAATGTCTATCCACTAGTGCAATGTCTCTTTGATGAATTATCGCTACTCACTGGTTTTTAAACAGCACCTTTGTTTTCAAATTTAAAATTAAATGTATATTTTAGAGAAAGAACAAATACATTTATTGAGAAAGTTAACTTCCTTAAATGATGAATTAAAAAACGTTTATTAGACTGTCCACATAGGAGGAGTAAGTGTCTAGTTGTAAGGAATGAATGCATTGATCAGTATTCTATTTCTGGGGTAGTAATTAAAATCAATACTTGAAGTTGTTTTACTCTTTCAAGTGTAACTCAACACCAGAAGCACTGTTATGTACTCCCCTCTCAATCCCATGCCCATTCTGCTTTGCAGGCTTCTCTCTGGGCTCCACAGTGCAGTCTCACACCAAGGGGATCTGGATGTGGTGTGTGCCTCATCCCCAGAAACCAGGACACACTCTAGTTCTGCTTGACACTGAGGGCCTTGAAGATGTTGAGAAGGTAAAAATAAATCTTTCAGATTCTACTTGTAGCTTGTCAATAGCTCAGCTTGAAGAACCCATTTCACTCCTGGATATATGCTTCTAAATAATTAAATGAATGTTCTATTCTTCAAGTTGTTCTAAGAACCAAGAATAATGAATCAGCATTTAGATGATATTATAATAACGATAGATAATGATATTTTAGTCTTTTTTTTCTACACCAAATATTTTGGTTGAAACTGCTAATGATACCATGAACTTGCCTGTGCACATTATAAACATGACTGGCTATTCAATGTGGAACCCTAATAAAAATACAATGTTAGAAATTTTCAAAAAATTAATAAAATATATTTTAAAAGAATGGCCACTTTTACAAAGGACTGCCAGTAATAGAACAACAATGTAAGATCTGCAACAATTCTTTGTTCAGGGAGAATCATGTTACTCTTCCCAAGTTTTATTGAGACCAATAAAACTCTTATTGAAGGACCTTACTTTCACTAGTGCTAACACTAGAGCTAAAATGCCCCTTACCATACAGAGTATGTCCTGTAAATAAAGCTTAGCGTTGCCAGTTTAAATAAGATGATATACATCCATGTGTATGAATGCATGAAGGACACTCACACTTAAAAGTCATAATGGTGATTAGTTACTAAAATCTAAACTGGCACGAATTGAATATTCATAAAATCATCACACAGATAAAAAGTTATTACGTAGTAGAAACGACTTACTTTTGATGCCATAGCTAATGGGATACAACAAATATTCATCTTTGGCTACGTGAGTTGATGGACAGTCTCTTAGTTACTCTTCTTCACTCATTGGCCTGTAGGGAGACAACCAGAATGACTGCTGGATCTTTGCCTTGGCGGTCCTCCTCAGCAGCACCTTCATCTACAACAGCATAGGAACCATCAACCAGCAGGCCATGGACCAACTGCAGTATCCTTTAGGTGTGGTCTAGAACAGTACTAAACCTAGGAAGAGCAGCTTTATTATTTCATCAGGTAGACAGGCAGGCAAAAACTAATTCTAAGTCATTAACCAATTCTTTTATACTTATCATGTGATTTTGCCTGTTTTCACTACAAGTTCAAACTTCTTAAGCCACCCATTACCTGTGGTACATTGTTGAGAACATCACTAATAGGTCAATATCCTGCATTTGTCCAAATCCTCAACATGATTTAGAACCCGTGTACTCAATAATCACCATTATCATTGTCTCTAAATGTTACCTATCTCCTGACTTCCCACAGAATGCTATCGGTAATATTTAGCCTGCAAACTCAGAGGTTTTGCAGGCTTGTTGCTGCTGCCTGTTGTGCGCTCACCATTGGGGGAGTGAGGGGGTGAGAAGATGCAGAGGCAATGGCAGAGACCCAGGAGACTCCAATACAGAAGCTCTTTATTGTAAACAGGTTTTGGTTGTTGTTGTTGTTGTTGTTTAATGGGGTTAAGAAAATTAAGCTGCTGCAGGAATGTTTCTGGGTGGTCCTTTTGAACCTGGCGCTCACTGCCGGTGTGTTGTGATGGGCCAGGAGCGCAAGTCATTACTTACCATGCCTTTGAGCCTCTTACCGGTTGCCTTGGCCAATTTTGCTTACTCATCATGAGTTTTCATGTGCTTGCTTGTACTTATGCTGTTGCGCTGCCTCACAAACTCATAATCTGAGATAGTGATTGCTTTTTAGTCTGTACCTCCAGTGTCGGTCTTCTATGTTTCTCCAATCAGCTCACAGTCACTTTTTCATTGGAAAGATGACCTTCTTTGAAGCCAGGGCTCTCAGACCACATTGCCGTTCTTTGTAGTCTTTGATCAATCCTTCAGTCCACACAGCCTTATTTTGCCGAATATGTTAACCCCTACTGTTTGGAGACTGGTAACCAAAAGACACAGGTTTCCACTATTCTCCCCCAGTTCTTTTTCCTTGTGTCCTTAGCCCCTACCTTCTCAGTACCCACCCATGTCATTATCAGTGCTGCAAGAATTTCTGTGAACTTCACTTCGGGTGTCATGCTGTATTCTTCCTCATATCGCTGTGCTCATTCAGAAGTCATATTATCTCATCTCACAGCAGCATTTCAAAAATCAATTCTTTCCTCTTCTGAGCCACTAGGTTCTTGCGTCTAGAATTTCAAAATTCCTAATATTCTACTTTCTTCTCTGGCAAACTATTCCATTGCCTGTGTGGACTCTGAATATTGCAGCTTACTAGTTACTGCACTTCTCCTCACTCGCTGCTCTACGCAATGGCATTCTGTCTGAAGGGCTTCTGTGCACCTGTGTTCCAGTGACCATCAAATATTTATTTACAGCTGTGACTAACTTCAAATGTTTACATCTTCACATAGATCTTTAAGAGATAATTTAATCTCAAAATTTACAAAAGCATTTCCCCAACTGTTCCCAATTGTTCCACAAAGTTGCTATGATCAAAACGTTAGAAATCACCTTGATCTTTTCACTCGTATTCTAGAAAGTATTAGTTCACGTGTTTTAAACTCCATTAGCAAAGCTGCTTCCCTAGACCAACCTCCTCATCTTGTCTCCATTGTCTCTTCTCTAAGCTTTGCTTGTTCTGTCTCAAAGACCAAGCTGCTCTTCCATGACAGTCTTTCTTTCCTGTCCTGGAACTAGCTCTTGTAGACCAGGCTAGTCTCGAACTCACAGAGATCCACCTCTTCTTCCCTGACAGTCTTGACTGCCTTTTGGAATCTCAGAAGTGTGATCTTTTGAAATACTATCATATCTATCTCCTCTACATTCAATATCAATCCCTAGCTTTCTACTCAGTAGAAAACATACTTGAAACTTCTTACTTTGGCCTTCAAAACTTGCCTATTCTGGCAGTTATTTCTTTAGCACTTGTACCCTATATACCGAAGTCCATATACATACATGTCAGTTACACTCATATTTTTATATCAAAGGATTTCTGGCTACTACCTGGGATGTTCTCCATGTAGAAGTTTCAAAGGTATTATTTGTGCATTTTTGTGCAAATGAGGTGCCTGCTAAAACCTGAGGTATCATATTTCCTGAAACTTGAACCAGGGAACTGAATTCGTGTCCCTTGCAAAAACAGTAACTGCTTCTAACTACTGAGCAATCTCTCTAACCTCTCCACTCGAACTTTCACAGATGACTCTTCTAATTCTTGTAGATTTCTGCTAATCAAGGACTTTAGAAAGCACATGAAGTTCTCTGAGTAACTAGACACAGACAGTTATTCTCTAGTATTTTCGGCTAAGGCCTTTTGCTGCATCAAAAATGGTAGTAAATATCTGAGAATTTAAAATATTTTATTTACTTGTTTTTTTAATATTCATCTGCTACATTGTAAGCCCTATGATGGTAGAATCCTTTCGTTTATTTTAAAAATTATTCCCTGGGGCTGTGCCTGATTCATAGCAGAGGTTCACTAGATGTTTGCCAATGGCTGGATTCTGTGAATGAATGAGCTAATGTCCTAGTTTTCTTTCTGTTGCTGTGATGAACATTATAACCCAATGCATCTTGGTGATGAAAGAATTTGTTTGGTTTACAGGTTATGGTCTAGCATCAAGGGAAATCAAAACAGAATTTGAGAGGCAGAGACCAGAGCAGAGACAGAGAAGGACCTCTGCTTACTGTCTTGCTTCTTGTGGCTTGCTTGGCTACTTTTCTTATACAGTCAGAGACCACCTGTCGACGGATTGCACGACACACTGTGGCTTGGGGTTTCTTGCATCAATTAGTAATTGAAAAAAGTGTCTCCACAGGCATATCCACAAGCCTGACTGAAAGAGGTAATTCCTCAGTTGAGGAATCTCCAGTTGTGTCAAGTAGACAAAAACTAACCAATATAGCTAAAAACAAAAACAAAACATTAATTTGGGGAGGCACTGGCAAAGTGTTTATCATAAAAATGCTGAACTTGTCTTTATAGTTTTCTTAATTGAACATCTCAGCTATGTTACAGAGCTGACTGATCTTATCAAGTCAAAGTCATCCCCTGAGCAGAGTGGGGTAGACGACTCCGCTAACTTTGTAGGTTTCTTCCCAATCTTTGTGTGGGCACTGAGAGATTTCTCCCTGGAGCTGGAAGCTAATGGAAAACCTATCACCGCTGATGAATACCTGGAACACTCACTGACCCTGAAAAAAGGTACCCGAGTTTGGTGGAATGCTCTGATACAAAGAGAAAATTTCATAAATGCCATTTCTGCTTGGTTGACCAAGGTCTTGATTTTGTAAATTTGTTATCCTGACAGTTGTCACAGGAAATGACAGCTTCGCTAAATCATTTGAACTCCATTTGAAATTTTACAAACTGCTTCTTCTTAGCAAAAGGATGATTCCTTTCTCCTTCCTTTAAGTTTGTATCACTTGTCTGTATTAGGTGTTTTTCAGCTTACATAGGCTTTATGGAAGTTATGGAATTGGAAGTATCATACATTGAAGTAATTCATTTGAAGTTTTTACTATATCTAATTTTCAATTTTGCAGGATCTGATGACAAAATTAAAAGCTTTAATGAGCCTCGGCTGTGCATCAGGAAGTTCTTTCCGAAGAGGAAGTGCTTCGTCTTCGACAGGCCTGCTCAGAGGAAGTATCTTTCCAAACTAGAGACAATGAAAGAGGAAGATCTGAGTGAAGAATTTGTAGAACAAGTTAGAGAATTCACCTCATACATCTTCAGCTCTTCTGATGTCAAGACTCTGTCTGGTGGCATCATAGTCAATGGGCCACGTAAGTCACCCCCTCTACTTTCTACCTGGGCTTCTCTTCTGCTCATTGTAGGATACTAAGTGATGCTGTCATTGAAAATGTAGTGTGTTTATCGCATGATGGAATTTACTTGGGAACTAAAGCCATTTCTCACCATCTCATATCTGTAATAGCAAAAAGGAAAAAGAGAAACGAACTAGAATCTAATCCAACCCTAGAAGTTTTTTCCTCTCACTCATGGTTCCCACTTAAAAAAATTATTAAAAGTCGAGAAAGTGAAAATACCATATTTGTGGAGTTTGCTACTTCAAACTTTCATGTACAGAAGAATGTTTAGTAGTGATATTAAAAATCTAACTATTGTATTTAATGAGGGGTAAAGAGATGTGGTTTCCATCCTCCTTCCTGCACAGCATGATAAAAGGACATGTTAAAAGGAAACAAACAAGAAACTCCAAAATTCATAGTGATAAATAATAATTCATATAATTAATAAAAAAATAAGGAGTTGCTACGTGGTAACAAGAGGTCTATGCAAGTGGGATCTGAGTCCAGGGAGTCAGAGAACACTTTGGTTTCATAAACTCAGTGAGGTGAGAAGTTAGAAATGGGCAGCAGTTACCCAAAAGAACAGAGGGTAATGCCTGAGGTAGCAGTGCAACAGACGGAGGCCCAAAGGAGCACACAGCTTTCTGACTTCAAGAAAGCAAGAGTCAGGCTAAAAGAAGAGAGTGGATGGGAGAGTCCCCCGCTGGAGAGGTCTGCAATGGCGATATCCGGAAAAGACAGGAACATGATTTCCAGAAATTTCAATTGGTTCTAAGTTCTATGGAGGACTTGGCAGGCAGGAACGTTGGAGGACAAAGTAAAGTTTTCTGGTTTACATGCCATACTCTCTGGAGTATTCTGCATACAACACATCGTTGTGTTATCAAGGAGCAGGGTAGAATACTGGAGTGTGATGCTTTCAACCAATCAACAAACTATGAGCAAACCTAGATATTTGCTTATCTACTTATAGCTCTGTGGAGGAGTGTCCGGGATGTTACCTTTATACAGACTAGAGAAAGGACTAGAATGATGCACCATTTTAAAACTACAAAAAAAAAAAAAAAACTGGCATAAAAAAGCAAAACTGTTACTTTGGCTATTAAAACATCAATGAAGAATAAAAGGGTCAATGAATGAGAGGAAAGAAACGGAGTGAGAAGAGAGAGGAAAGGGTAATAATGAAACAAGGTTTGGTATCACAACTTTTCTCTCCCAATGCTAGAAGTCACTCAATCAAAAGTCTATCTTTGAAACAAACGAAGGGGAGTGATAAAAAGGATTTAATATCCTCTGGATCTTAAGGTTAATAAATTATTATGCTGTTCTTGTTTCTCAGAGAATCCTGAAAACTGTACAGTGCTTTTTCTACTAAATGACAGCCATTTTCTTAACTTTTGTAACAGGCCTACAGAGCCTGGTGCTGACCTATGTCAACGCCATCCGCAGTGGAGAACTACCCTGCATGGAAAATGCCGTCCTGACTTTGGCCCAGATAGAGAACTCAGCTGCAGTGCAAAAGGCCATTGAGCACTATGAAGAACAGATGAATCATAAGGTCCAGCTGCCCACAGAATCCCTCCAGGAGCTGCTGGACCTGCAGAGGCCTATTGAGAGTGAGGCCATTGAGGTCTTCATAAAGAATTCTTTCAAGGATGTAGACCAAAAGTTCCAGAAGGAATTAGGGGTATGTGTGGTACCCAAAGTCATAAAACAAAGAAAAACATGGGCCTTTTCTGGGATGAGCATTGCTCAGTGATACCCCATGATATGCAGAGATTTGCAATGGTTATTGAAAGACTAGATTCTTCTAGACTTTGATAAAAAAGCATAACACTATAACTAGTCACATTTTGCACACACACACACACATACCTACACCTACACACATGTCATTTTTATTAGTTTCCCCACTCTGGAAACAATAATCTCAGTCACTGAGGGAATTAATTACACAAACTTTACATTTACAAAGTATTATTTAATAGTTTTACATAATATAACATTTTTATTCTCTGAGAAATTTAAACATAATGTGTTTTTAATCATATTCACTTTTTTTTTTTTTTTTGGTTTTTCGAGACAGGGTTTCTCTGTAGCTTTGGAGCCTGTCCTGGCACTAGCTCTTGTAGACCAGGCTGGTCTCGAACTTACAGAGATCCACCTGCCTCTGCCTCCCGAGTGCTGGGATTAAAGGCGTGCGCCACCATCACCCGGCTCATATTCACTTCTAACATAGTTTTTATTGTTCAGGAATACACTGCTTTTATGCTCCCCACTCGTAATGACAAACCAATTGTAAGAATGTTTACAAACGCTTTGCCATTTGATCAGTGGCAATGCTTCTCAGATTACCAAGGCTGGATTTTACAAAGGACAAGTGGTTTCATTCGGAGGTTCTGGTAAAACAGGGTAGTTAATGTAAACAAGCAATTGAGTACTCTCCAACCCAAAGGAAATACAGGAGTTAATATTTAGTTGCTTGCTTGATGTCATATGGAGAGCTAGCTCTTCTGTTATCCTTTCCAAACACAGAAAACTCATCATGTCATCTTCAATACTTTCATTGGCTGTATGGTGAGAAAATACAAAGAAACATGACATAGTCCATTACCCTTTACTGAGTGTTTTTATAGAGCCTCTGGGCTTAGTATTCTGTATCAGCTCATACAGTCTGAAAAGAAATATCTGGGATTGGTGGTGTTACCCCATCCTTATAGACAAGGAAACCTTAGTACATCTTAGTACACTAATGACATGTTTATGAAGCCATAAAATGGTGGGTTCAGGAAATCTAAACAGGCTGGCCTAGGTCTAATTTTTATAATCTGACATGTTTCTTTAATTAGTGACTTAAGTAGAGGCTTCCTGTGAAACAGTGTCTGTGCTCTGAGAATATTTCTGAAGCAGGACAAAGGGGAAAGCCTCTAGGAAGTAAAATTTGAAGTAGCCAGCACCCTCCTCAGGAATACCTTGAATCTCACAATGAGGTGAAGAGCATGGCCCATTTCGACATTCTCCAGTGGTCTCTTGTGTTATCTTCCTCCTCTTAACCATCTGTGTGATTTTCTTCTTACCCAGGCCCTGCTGGACGCCAAGCTAGAGGCCTTTATTAAGAAGAACATGGATGTGTCATCAGCTCGTTGCTCAGATTTGCTGGAGGATATTTTTGGACCTCTGGAAAAAGAAGTAAAAGAGGGGACATTTTCTAAACCAGGAGGTTACTACCTCTTTCTTCAAAAGAAGCAAGAGCTGGAGAAAAAGTATCACCAGATTCCTGGGAAGGGGCTGCAGGTAAAGCGAGTAGTTGGTACCATGCAAAGGTGCTTCATGAGGAATCTCTTCCAAATGCTAGTGAGAGCAAGGAAGGTGCCATGGTGTTTCTGGAGAGTGCCCTTGTCTTACATCCATCTTGGCAGAGAGCAAAACAGGAGACAGATAGCACCTTTCTGCTTGGAAGCACAACAGGATATCTCGAGAATGTTTGCGGAATTTGTTCATTGCGGATTTGTTTATTTGGCTTTGTGTGACAAGGGCTGCTCAGGTTGCTAGAGACAAGAGGATTAATGAAAAAGGAAAACTAGTTAAAAGTTATGGTCATTCAAAGAACTTGGACAAATGACCTCTAGCTGTCAGCACCTAGATAGCTCCCCCTGGGCTTTAGAGGTTTCTTCTTTTAATTCTCACATCCTCACATAAACCATGCACTGTTAGTTTGTCAGGAAGAGAAACAGAAAATGAGGCAGAGTGAAGCACAAGACTCACTTAAGATCACACAGCTAAGGACCAGGAACTCTTGAATGCAATGCCAACTAGTATCATCTATATCCCTCAGTTCCAGACTGCTCTGTGCTAATAATAGAGTTTAAGATTAGGTTTGACTTTGAATTATTTACAAACATCAATGTCTTTTAAATGGCTGAATATTTCTTTTTTTCTTCTGGACAACGAGTCACACAGGAAGACCCCAGGGCTGCTGTGGTGGCTCCGCCACCTACTTGTTCCCAGGTCTCTTCCTTTGCTCTCTAGAACATTAGTCCAGGGACTCTATCTATGAGCTGCATTCATGCTCTGAGAGTCAGGATTTACTTCAAATTTATACCTTGAAACAAGGAGAAGGGACAAAAGGACAAAAGAGTAGTACATCAACTCCTTTTAAAATTTCTAAGGCACACCATGACACTTTTCTGACTGTATACCTTTCATAAGAATTTAGTCCTATGGACATTCCAGACTTACAAGAGATACTGTATTTTACTATTTTGATAAACTATAAGGTAAAGATTTAGCAAAGTGGTTAAAGAAACTAGACAGAAAGACAAGTGGCTATGTAGAGGTAGGAAATTTCAAGCAACAGAACTAGTTAATAAGAGCAAATTAATGTGTATTTGAGGGTCAACAAGAAACCTGATGCTCTGGGAGATGGTGAGCAGAGCAAAGATTAACAAGAGGTGAAAAAGGTCACAATCCAGACAAGGTGAATCTTGAAGGACACTGAAAACTGCTTGTTGCTCATTTAGGGGAACTATAAAGTCATCGTAGAGCATTGGAATAATAGGACTGTTCTTAACATAACATGGCAAAATTCTGGCTACTGTGAGTTGAATCATCTGCAGCAGTCAGGAAGCAAGACCTAGAGCTGTGAGATTTGGATGCCACAGATGACAAGCAAAAGACTGAGGTTGTAATGTTTGAATCTAGAGTCAACATGATCAATCAGCTCATCGTCACGTATAAGATATATGAAGCAACTAAGAAAAGAGATCAAAGATCCAACTAGTTTGAAAGATTTACTAGTTGCTAAAAGATAGGGCTATGGAAAGTTTAGGATTTGGGAAGGGGTCTCTAAGTCAGTTTTAGGTTCATTAAACATAAGAAGCTATTTGGATTGCTACTTAACTGGTAACACGAATGTCAGTTAATAGACACATTGGCTTGTTTCTTATATTCTATACTTATTCTATACTACCAGGCAGAAAAGATGTTGAAAAAGTACTTTGACTCCAAGGACGATGTGGCTGAAGCACTTCTAAAGGCGGATCAATCACTCACAGAAGCAGCAAAGGAGATTGAAGGTGAGAATTGCTGAAGAAACTCCGGTGCTTGGAAACTCTTGCCACATTTAGCAGTAGTGGTCCATGTGATGTGGGGTTCCCCTCTGTATGCTGTGAATGTGTTGTTACCTTTGGTCAATAAAGAAGCTACTTTAGGCCTCTGGCAGGGCAGAATAGAGCAAGGTGGGAATTCCAAGATAGAGGAGAAAAGAGGTGTAGTCACAGAGATGCCATGTAGCAGCCAAAGGAGATAGACGACCCGGAACCAAGGTTCTGGTAAACCATAAGCCTTGTGGTAAAAATATAAAATAATAGTAATGGGTTAATTTAAGATGCAAGAGTTAGTTAATAAGAAGCCAGAGCTAATAGGCCAAACAGTATCATAACTAATATTGTTTCTGTGTGATTATTTTGGGTCTGGGTGGCCAGGAATGAGCAAACAGCCTCAGCCAACACATGTGAAATCATCATTGCAGAGAAAGGATCACAAGTATCATTCATGGTGTTTTGCTTTTACACTGTTATATACATTGTCATCTGCTTCCCTATTAAGTAGTTATTTCGTGCAAAAATCACCACAAGAAATTTTATCAAAGACAAGAGAATTTTTTTAAAGGAGAGAAAAAAAAACAAAAGTAAAGTCATAAAATTTAGTGTTTGGATTCTTTGCTTTTTCTTCTCAGTGGAACGAATAAAGGCAGAAGCTGCTGAAGCTGCCAACAGAGACTTAGAAGAGAAGCAAAAGAAGTATGAGTTGATGATGCAGCAGAAGGAAGAGAGTTACCAGGAGCATGTGAAGCAGTTGACTTTGAAGATGCAGCAGGAACGGGAACAGTTAATAAGAGAACAGGACAATATTATATCTCTCAAACTTCAGGTACTTGGTTATATCTTCTCAGTAAGTGAGCCAATCAAAAATAAGAGCAAAAACCAGCTTAGCAGCTAAAAGCACTTATAGAGGACCTAGGTCTGGGAATCAGCACCCTTCACAGTGACTTACAAGAGTCCATAACCCTAGTCCCTTCTCTGGCCTCTGCAGATAGTGCACATACGTGGTACATTTACAAACACCGCACGCAAAAACACTCATGCACTTAACACAAATAAATCTGAAAATCAAAACGTAAGCTTATCAGGCTGAGTCAGGAGGATGACTGGTTCAAGTCAGCCTGGGTTATGACTCTTGCCATGCCATAAGTAGTTCTGATGAATAGTGATACATTTCTCTTCCCTCATGGCTTATCTCCAGCTGCGAGTAGTAAGAGCTGCTTATGGGTGGATGAAACCCTTTATGAGGCTCTTCACAGACAGTGGCTAGGAATTACTCAGCGCTGCTTACGTGTCTCCTACTTATTTCCATTTAATAACTCGGGTCTCTTATGTTGTGCTAGATGAAGACATTGCAATTTTATCAGAATACATCATATAATATATAGCTTATTTTCTTTACTAAATGGAACCCACAGGGATTTCATTTCTGCTACACCTAATATGACCTTGTGTCTGGAAGTATTCTAATGAATAACGAGAGTCCCTAAGCATCTACATACTCAAGCACATTGGTTAAGTACTCAAATTACAGTGCTGCCCTGTTATTCATGAATTCCTCTATATCAGTTCTGAGTCTCAGTGGTATCCCAGAATGTCCCATTAGGCCTGCAGACCACAGTTGCTTCGGTATATTTCTGTCATCTCTCTCTGTTATTAAAATTTTGGACATGTACTAAATTCCCTGATTGAATAACTGCCCTGGTTCTGAACCAAGTAGTAACCTTCCACTTGGTTTATATCCATCTTAGACGTGTTTGAGAGTTCAAACAACACAAACCAGAGATGAGGCAAGAAAGAAGAGGGAAGCTGGTGCTTTTATAGAAAAAAAAATGTATTTTACTAAGTCACAGAAGAGTTGTGTTTTAGCAACTGTTAGCCAACATTTCTTAAGCCGGAAAAATCATAGAAAAAAAAAAAGAGAGAGAGAGAGAGAGAGAGAGAGAGAGAGAGAGAGAGAGAGAGAAAGAGAGACAGAGAGACAGAGAGATTAAGAAGGAGGAGGAAGAGGAAGAGGAGAAAGAGGAAGGAAAGGGAAGTTAAAGAAAGAGAAGGTTTCAAGAAAAACACCAAAATTCCTCCAGAAAATAATATAACTATCAGAGAGTCTGTGAGACACTCTGTGAAATGTGGGAAGCTGTCTGAGTTCAGTCTCCATCTCCATTTTAGGAACAGAAGCGACTTCTCAATGAAGGGTTCCAGAATGAGAGCAACAAACTTCATCAAGAGATCGACAAAATCAGGAATAGCAAACCTTCAGGCTGCACCATACTCTGAAAGTCTGATTTTCAAACTGCTCTGCCGAGCAATCCTTTATCAAGGAATATGTTGACTGAGAACCTTCAACGTTTGAAACAACTGCTATTAAACTCAATTCACGTCAACTCAAAATCACCTGTAACTCCAGGCTATGGTCACTGTATGACCCCTGGGCAATGTCAGAGGAAGTCTCCCTCTGTGCAGAATGCGTGTATGAGCAGAGGCTCTGCCTTCTGTGTTTTAGAGATCTTCTTGACCTGCACCATCCCCAGGCCACGTATGTTTCTCCTTTATAATCTTCTCTTTTCTTCTTTCCTACCGTATAGCATTTACAACCACAGAACAGGCAAATTTTAATTAACTCTCAAAATGAAGTCCTTTTCATTTCTCTGAGGACTCTGATTTTTTTTCCTACAGTCCTTCAAAAACTAAACCCCACCTCTACTTTCCTTTTATTTCCCTGCTGTGACATCATGTCTTGAAGTTTCTCAACAAAAGTTAATAAAAAGTATTATCCCACTGTAATTGTTTCAGAATATGTATTTAATTTGTACTTTGTTGTAAGAAGGCTGATAGTTCCTGGTTGCTCAAACCCAAAATAATCACTCAGAAATTATATCATTTTCAATACTGTTTGTCCAATAGCTTAACCGTATTTCTGGCTAACTCTTATATCTTAATTTAACCCAGTTCTAGTAATCTGTGTATCGCCATGTGGCTGTGGCTTACCAGGTAAAGTTCTGTCTGGCTCCAGCTGGGCTACATGGCTTCTCTCTGACTCTGTCTCCTTTCTCCCAATATTCACTAGCGCACGCTAGTTATTTGTTCTGTAATGTTGATTCTAACTGAAAAGAAATAGAATTACATTATAGTATTCTTTGTATCTCTTCTGATGGCTAAATCAAGATTTTTTTTTTACAGCTAACAGGTTGGCAATGCCTTTTGGGTAGCACAACAGGAGAGTTTACTGTTTGACACTGGAAATCACATCTGGGTAATGGAATCTTCAGCTAATTAGAGTTGATAGGTTGACTCACACACCAAAACTTTCCTTTATTCAAAGTGTGTATTATAGCGCTGGTGATGTAGCTCAGTCGGTATAGTGCCTCACAAGCATGCACATGAGGATGAAAGCCATGAGCAGAAGCAATCCAAGCTTCTTGTCCATCATTCTGCATGAGTAGGAAAACTAGTGGGCTCAGCTGCAGCTTGCTAAAATTCCTTTCAAAGTAGAGTAAGGAAGAATACAGGATGTTTTGGGAATGTTTAAAATTTTTATTGATAGTGATGAAGTAGAACGAGGGCATTGTGAGCAATGTATTCAGGCTAGAGTCTGAACTCAGGAATGTATCAAGCACTGAAGCTTAGGTTGGTCCATGGAGGGAGTAACAAAACCAGGAGTTCCATGCTTGAAATGATATTGTCTTACCACACATCACATCCTGGACAAACTGAGCAGTAAGACAAGGTATCAGCTACTGCTTACAGACCAGGATCTATAGCAACAGACTGCTAAATGCCTCAGTGGGACCTCTGAAAAAACTGCAAGTAACTGAGGCCATACAGAGAAGAACAGGGGTGTTGGTTTGTTCAGAGATTCTGACAGCGAGGGATCGGCCACCACTGGGATCTCACAGAGACTCAGAAGCAGGAAGAAAAATAAAAAATGAAAAAAAAACACACAGTGAAAGGAAACTTCATATATTTTTCTTGTTAAAGGCTGCTGCTGTGGAAATGCTGAGAGTGGGTTAACCATCAGCACAGCACCTAATGTATTTGGTTAGTGAATATATGTGTCTGGTTCTAGTGGGCAGTGAGTTAAGAGGAAGTTTTCAGTTATTGATGACAATGATTTTCCATAATTTCCATAGACTGCCGTCAACTTTGTCTCTGCCTGGATATAATAGTTAATATTGTTTGTCAACTTGGCAAAGTCTAGAATCCCCTGAGAGGCAAACATCTGGGCACATCTGTGAAAGGATTTCAAGACTGGCTAATTGAGTTTAGAGCACTCACACTGAATGTGGGCAGTATCATTACAGTGGTGGGGGTCTCAGATATGGGGGGAGCCTAGGCAGGACTCCAGCATCCATCTGTCTCTGCTTCCTGGCTGCAGATGCAAGGTGCCAGCAGCCTCAAACTCCTGCCACCATGACATCTTCTCCATGGTGGGCTGTATCCTGTAACCAAGAGCCAAAGGAAACCTTCTATTCTCCAAGTTCCCTTTGTAAAATATTTTGTTGCAGCAGAAAGAAAAATAACTAATACAAAACATTGTTACCCACAGGGGCACCGTTGCTGGGGTCCATCTGACCATGTGGCTTTTAGAGCCTACCAATTATTACATGGCCTTAAACGGCATTCAGCTGCAGACCAAATTACACATTCATGAAAGACTATGATAAGCAGCATTAAGCCAGTGTGCAGTTATTCTTTCATTTCAGACAGAGTAACAGGAAGTGTATCCGCTCTGGTAAAAACCTGAGAGGCGTGTCTCAGGCCATCAGCCACTTCTCTCTGTTGTAATTTTCTAGAACTAAACACAACGATGTCAGTCCTTTGAACATGTAAACAGAGAATGTGACCATTTTAGAGAAGCATTTGGGGCTTGCTCCAATCCATTTCCACATGTTAGTTTTGTCAAAGTTACCATGCTATCATAGACATAACATAAAATATATCATTTAAAAAGTCTTAGGGATAAAATTGCCGGGCACGAAATACTGTATGATGTCACAGCCCTTTAGTTTTAATTTTTCCAACATTCTAAATAGAAATAAAGTAGAATGAGTTAGGAAAACCAATTAGTAGTTTTACTTAAAACATGGTTTATATTGCTCATTTCCATGCATAACTTCAGTTGCTAGCTGGAACAGAACAACCTGGAGAAATTGTTGAAACAACACGTCATTGAATTTGGCATCCTGACCTGACCCATGCCTTTTAAGACAAAAGACTGCCTGACACATGTGCTCCTGTGAAGTCTCACTGGCTTTCCTGCCTTACCTTGTTGTTTTAGAGTTACCATGAGAATTCAAATTGGACCTGGCACAGAAGCCATTCAGGAGTTTCCTGGATTCATCGGGGACATGTCCTGTCCACTACTCCAAATGGTGTTGGCATGCTTATTAAAGAAATTCTACCACAACAGAAGCCCCAAGCCATTAAGAGTCTTTGTATAATCTTTTCCTGTCACCTCACCCCAACTTTTGGAAAATTCTAGTATGCTTTCTAATTCTGTAATTTTAGCTGATTACTACATTTTATATAAATAAAAAGATAAAATGCCTACTCTCCCTCTATCTCTAATCTTATCACAGTCTTTTGAGTTTTACTAATGTTCACATGTACTGGTTCTTTATTTTGTTGACAAATAATAAATGTTATTAGCATCACATTATATTTATCCATTTGTCAGTTCATCTTTTGCTCTGATTTAAACACCTAGCTATTATAAATAGTATTTTACATCAGGGTTTGCGTGGACACGTGTATTTCTCTTCAGCACACACCTAAGAGTGCAACTGGTGGATCAGTAGTAATTCTGTTTAACTGTTTCAGGAACTGCAAACCGGTCCAAAGTGCCAGCACCATTACACATTCTTCACTGATGGACGTGATCTGATTTCTTTGTATCTTCACTAATACCACTAAGAAAATGCATTTACCCTTGCAGGAGGGAAGACAAGACTGGCCTTGAACTCACAAAGATCCACCTGCCTCTGCCTTCCAAGTGGTGTGATTTTTTTTCTATTATTCAAGAAGCTGTTGATGAAGTCAAAATATGACCCTGTGTTATTACTTAAGGTTTTAGTTATTTTAGCCCCTACAATTTGACCACTGTTTCATTTTTTGAAAGTTTCTATATTTATAGGTTATATGAGTTGGTTTTCTATGCTAGCTTTAAAAAAAAAATACAGTACAGGTCTGAAGATATGGATCAGTGAATAAGAGCATTTGCTATGTAAGCACGAGGACTTGAGTTCAAATCCCAATCCCAAGAAAAAGAATGTGGATGCACATCCCTGTAGCCCTAGCGATCTATGCAGGGAGTCACAAGGCTCAATTAATTTCTTTAAAAAGTGATAGAAACCAATGGAGACTGTGCTGGGAAAGGAGTTCAGAGCATACTGCAACATTTTCTGGCAGCAGCGTGTCCCCAGAGTCTGGGTTTGTATCAAACTTCACTCTGACAGGTGTTTGGCTAAGCTAAAGTTCTGGAATGTCTCTGGATTGTCTTGTCTTAGAGCTTTCAGTGTTTTCAGGGAATGGATTTCATTGTCATTGCCATCGAGGGAATGTGCTGAGGTCAGTCAAACTGCAGGTAAGAAACTGAAAGGAACACGGATGTGTTCTTTTAAGGAGAAGATAAAAATAGTAAGTTAGAAGCAGGATAAACAGTCCCCTGACTGAGAAAAGGAAAGTGAAACTCAGACACACAGGAGAGAGGGGTCAGGTGTCAGGTCCAAAAGAAACATGGACAAAGGGCTAACTGAAGTAGCAATTAGCATAGCAAAGTATCTGCTTTCCTCCTTTCTCACTCTGAATCCCTACCCTAAACTTCTCCAGCTCATGGGCTTCCTTTTCCCCAGCCTCTCCTTCCTATAGAACCCTGCCATTTCAGTCAAGAGCCCTTTTGGCTCCCTCTCTCTTGGCCCTGTCATTCTTGGTACTATTTTCTCCCTCTCTCCTGATCCTCTCTCATGCTCTGCTCGGCAGCCTCTCTTGGCCAACTCTCATTGTTCTCTGTCTCTCTTCTCTTCCTCTCTCACTCTGCCCAACCCCAAACCCTGTCATGGCCTGGTTCAGTCTACTGCACATGTTTACTCTACTTTTCTCTCCCTTCTCTGGACTCTTCCAGATGTCTCTGGCTGTTCTTCCTGCCACTGCTACAAAAAAAAAAAAAAAAAAAAAAAAAAAAAACCAACAACAACAAAAACACCTTCCCCATGCCTTGGCGAAGTCATGTTCTCATTTTCTACTCTGATGTCAAAAACCCACTGAGTAGAGCATAAATGGGCCCTTTCATTGGGCCCAGCCTCTTGACCAAATCAAGCTGCTGCTCTGGCCCTCCTAAGGTATCTGTTCATCATTGGTTTCTGCTGGCTTCTGCTACCCACCATATTCTACTCCAGATTCTAGAGTCTAGCTCTTCTTCCCCTCTATCTGCTATGCTTCTCTACTGTGACTCAGGGCATCTGTTAGTCTCTCTGGCTCCTGGAATCTTCTACTCCGTCTTGTGCTCTCACCATGTGGGCATCTTTCTGATAAAAGCCACTGCCCTCTCCCTCTATTGAAACCCTCCTTCCAGTGGCATTCTCTCTCTGGTCCTTTTCCTTTCCTCCTCAAACTCAAAGATTTTATAAAGACCTGCTATCTTACTGCAAGCTGCTTGGCCTCAGTACATACAGTTCAATGAATGACCAAAAGTTGGTACACTTGATTTTCAAATTCTCTCATATTGTAACCACTTCTGCCACTACACAAACAAATGATCCCCAAATATTTTATGTCTAAACTTTCTCTTCTCTTCATTTCCAAAATTCTGTAATCTCTAACCTTTTTCTGCTTTTCACACTTGAAAACATTTATATCTATAATTTTTTTCTCTCTGTTCTGAAAGAAATCTCTTAATAATACTATGGTATAAACTTATTTACCTCAAAATTTTTAAGGTAATTGGGTATATTTTAAAATCTGTAAAATCTATAACAAAAAGTTAACTTAAAACTTATACCTTAAGGCTGATAGTTTAAAAATCTATGCATATGCAATCCTAATTTACTACAGTATTATTATATAAGTAACTTGGATTCAACTCTTGTTTGGAAAACCAAATCTGCTTCAGCTTTGAATAGATATATGGTTTATTTGCTTGGATTCAATTCTTGTTAGGATTGAATAGATGTTTTAAAATAGCAACTATGTGACTCTCCTTCATCTTAGCTGATGACCTTTTCAGGACAGAAGCAACCATGTGATAAGTTAGTCAGCTGCAGGGTAAACAGGCCCCTGAGAGAGAAATGGAAAATGAAACTCAGAGACAGGAGAGAGGTGTCAGGTATCAGGTCCAAAAGCAACTGGGACAAATAGCTAACTGTGGTAGTAATTAGCATAGCAAAGTGTCTGCTAGCTTCTACCTCATTCAATAGATGTGGCTCCAATCATATTCCAAGGTGTGGTTGAAGGGAAGATTTTCTTGTAGATATGGAGAGAACAGTCAGGGGCAGCTGGAAGAGTCCAGTGCGGGGAGAAGAAGTAGTAGATTTTCAGTACAGGGAACTGAATCAGGTCATGTCAAGAGTTTGGGGGTGGGGAGAGTGAGAGATATAGAGAAGAGAAGAGAAGAGAAGAGAAGAGAAGAGAAGAGAAGAGAAGAGAAGAGAAGAGAAGAGAAGGGGGAGGGAGGGAAGAAAGGAGAGAGAGAGAGAGAGAGAGAGAGAGAGAGAGAGAGAGAGCAAAATAAGACACATGGTTGGATAAGCAATTTATCAGTAAAACAACCATATTTACTAATTTTTAAAAAGAGTACTTGCCATGTAACTTCATCACAAATTTGATTTAGACGCTCCAAATACTATAAACCAACTAAGACAACACTCATAAAACTTCTTAGGTAGGTCCATAATATTTTTTTTAATTATCAGCCTGTTTTTCCACAAGCAGAATTCATGGGTCTATAATACATTAAACTCCGTTGTTATTGTTTTATATCCTCAGAAAGTTTCACATTTAGCAAAATGGAACGTGATGTCTAGTAGCCTAAACCATTTCCTGAATCATCTTTACTAACTGTCCTAACCACTTGTATCTTTAGATCATTGATCCAACTAAGCATTGTTGCTCTATAAAAATAATCTTCATTATTATCTGCAAATATATTGTCCAATGAGGAGTAGAATTTTCCCATGAAACATTCTACTTGACTACTTTTAAAATATACTATGACATTATAAAATTATACAAGTAGTTATTTCATTTCTTTCCCTGGTGTGTAGCTTGGGGTATGGTGAATCTCATAGCATTCTGAAGGCAGACAGACTTGTGCTCTCTCAGCTGAAAACCTAGCATTCTCATTAATCCGTCGTCTTTTCCTCTGCAGTCAGGAAACCCCAGTGGACGTGGCATCAGAAGTTCCTGTGTGTCTCATCGAGAATGCAAAAGGAAGATGAGGCCGAATAAGAAGGCGCTGGAGATCCTGTCGGCCATCACCAAGCCGGTGGTGGTGGTGGCCATCGTGGGTCTCTGCTGCACTGGAAAATCCTACCTGATGAACAAGCTGGATGGGAAGAAAACAGGTGAGTGCTACCAACACAGCTGTGCTGTGTCCCCTGGGTCTACCCACACTGTTTTATTGCAGCATAGGGTATTAGAACAGAAAGTTCAAGACAAAAATAAATACTGAAAGGTAATTCTTAATCCATAGGGGAGACAAGTGAGAAATTATGCTTAAGATTAGTTTATCTTAAAGAGCTTTATGTGCTGGCTCTATCTGAAAATCAGATCAGTTTTGTGTACTTTATTATAATGAGAAAAAGAAGAGTCCGATGCTGTTTCTTCAAGTTATTCTAATTTCCTGTTTAAAAAGTATAATGCTCTTGCTGGTTAGTAGAATAAGCCAGTGTGAGGCCCCAGCTCAAAAAGCTTGCTTGCAGCTGCTTCTAGCACATGCCCTAGGTAGATGGCAACCAGCAGTGGAAAAGCACAAAACTTGCAAAACTTGCAAACCATCCCCAATTGTCGTTTGCACCTTGACCGCAGTACCTTGTTCCACCCACCAGTCAGGAACCATCTGGTGTCAAAACTAAGACAGACAGAGTTCGTGGTCGATGTCACCATCTTTTATGGTATATCTGTGAAATTTGATGAAACAAACAACTGTGGCCTAGGATTGACCCAATACACTAATGCTGTATCCAATCATGCTGTACCCCATACCCATTATATTAATGTTGCGGTTTTGGCCTATAAAAACTTGCTGAAATTGCTGCTGTTCGGGGTGCTCTACCTCTTTGGAGACTAGAGACACCCGGTGGCGCTATCGTTAATAAAGCCTCTTGCTTCTTGCATCTGCTGGACTGGTTAACTGAGTTGTGGGGCTTCTCCCTCTTGGGCCTGCACCCAAGTGGGTGAGGGTCTTTCACCAGTAGATAATACAGGCTACTGCTATACATGCATTTCAAAGTCACAAAATAGTAAGATATTCATGTGTCAACAGTAAGCAACCACCCTCTGTGGAGGAAACACAAAACCTTTCAATGTAAATGGAATATTCCATTTTCACCTTTT